CGTTTAGACTTACACAACCTCGATTAATCGTCGTGATGAATTCAAATTCGATGACGAAACTGTGTTTGTTTTTACTCATAGCCTTATAAAGGGGGTTTCTGGTGTTCATTTGACCTAATCTTCAAGTTACATCCTGTTTCACTTATATAAAAAGCTGGGCAACTATTACACTATATTTTGTAAATGTTTCCTGGTGAGGTGCGTTCGTTATATACTTTTCTTAACGTGTTTAATTTTTATTCCAGGGCTGAAAATGAATCTAGGCGTTATGTTAAGGTTATATTTATGTGCTAGTCTTTTCGAAACTTGTGATAGCGGTATGCTAATATTTTCTATATATGTGATGGGACAAGTAATTAGGTTTCCATTGTTTTGTGGAGTATTTGAGTTTGTTTGTTTGTTAAATGCCTCTTGTCTGTGTTTTTTAATGTATTGATAGTTTCTATACCTACTTTAGTAGGTAACTGATTAACGTTAGTGAAGCTTTGAGTTAAGTGCGCAACTTCTTTATCGATGTTTTCTGTGGTTCATATAGTGTATGATAAATTTAGGGGGCTTTTTAGAGTGGTTACCTTCTGGTGGGTTGCACGATTAGAAAACCAGTTTATGTAATTTTCGCTCTGTGTTTTTTCTATGCATTTTAGTGGTGAAATCTTGGAAGATTTGTGTGATATTAACGTTTAAAAATTTATTGTGCATTTGTTTTCTTTTTCTGTTGTGTTCCTGTTTTATGTTTATTCTCTTGAAACATGAAAGTGTTAGTTATTTTCACAATACGTTTTTCTTCAGTCTGACAGAAGGGATAGTTTCCTATCAATATTTAAAAAATAAGAGATGTCAAACAGAATATCTTAAATAGAAGGTAACATGAAAAACGGCAGCAGAAGGGTTGCACGTATGAGTTAGGGATATTACAATTTTCAATAGAAAAGTGTGATAAAGTGTCATCCTTTCAACAGTATAAAGCTATCTCTATCTCAACAAATGTAAAGAAATAAGTGTCTGTCCAACTGAGTTAGATATTATTCTCTGCTTAACATTTCCTGAACCAGTACTTTGTCGATACTTGTAATTACCTTAATATCTTTGTACCAGAATACCACACTGAGAAAAGTGAATACATCAACTTTATTGTACAGGACGTAGCATCAACATCAATAGGTAGAACTACAAAAACAAACGTAG